TGAACTGTGACCTCCTGGTTCATAGGTCAATGCTCAACCACTGAGCCACACCGGCCGGGCATGAAGCCTCTTCTTTTTTTATATATATATGCTATTTTTTAGAGCTTCACAGCAAAACTGAAGAAGGCCCGAGATGTGCCGCTCACCCCTGCCCCACGTATGCAGCCTCCCTCCTGGTGCCCCATTGACGAGCCTGCACTGATGCATCGGAACCACCAAACCCATCGCTTCCATCAAGGCCCGTCTCGGTGCCGGACAGCCTCCAGGCCGGGCCAGTGGATGATGATGTGGCCCCTGGGGTTTTGAGGGGCAGGACCCTCCCTCGGGGCTCCGAGAGGGGCTGCTGGCCCACGGGAGGTGAGCCTCCCCGCAGGAAGCAGGGCACACGCTCAGTCACCCAGTTCCCAGGCCCCAGGTGACTCCATTCAGAGATGTGTGAGATGTCAGGGTTCAAGCTCCTCATCTTACAGAGGAGGAAGCGGAGACCCGGAGAGGTTAAGCGAGTGGCAGGGCGCCGTCTGCCTGATAAGGCTGCGGAGGAAGAAGACTGGCGGCTCTGCGCTGTGGCTGGTGGAGGAGGCCCCTGGGCTCCCTTCTGGGGGGAGGGGGAGGGAGGTTGGGCAGGAGGCCAGGGAAATCTGAAGGAGGAGGCGTGCCACGTGGGCACCAGAGTCTGGGAGTGAGGGGATGAACCAGGACCCTTGGGGACACGGACTCAGGTGCTGCCAGCACTGCCCTGGGCACAGCGGGAGCTGCACAGCCGAACGGCCTGTATCTGCTCCAAATGCTCGGTCCGCCATGTGACACCTCTGTACTCACATGAGCCCCCATGGCCGTGAGCGAGCACCCCCCTCGGGCCGGGCTTCCCCATCCTTCAGGGTATATTCATGATGCCCCCTCCTCACCCATTGTCTAAATTGTACTGACCCCCCCCCCAAATAAATAAATAAATAAATAAATAAATAAATGGCACTGCCCAATACAAGCCACATGTAGCTCCTAGGAGCTTAAAACGTGGCTGGTCCGAATTGGGAGGTGCTGTAAGTGTGAACTGCACACCTGATCCTGAAAACTCAGCATGAGAAGGGCACGTCACACACCTCAATCACTGTGGATATTGATGACATGTGACATGCTAATATCTTGGCTAGGTTGGGTTAACGCAAACATATTATTAAAATTAACTTCACCTGTTTCGTTTTTACTTTTTAATGTTGCTGGTAGAAATGTTTAAATTGCATGTGTGGCCCTAACCGGTTTGGCTCAGTGGATAGAGCGTCGGCCTGCGGACTGAAGGGTCCTGGGTTCGATTCCGGTCAAGGGCATGTACCTTGGTTGCGGGCACATCCCCAGTAGGGGGTGTGCAGGAGGCAGCTGATCGATGTTTCTCTCTCATCGATATTTCTAACTCTCTATCCCTCTCCCTTCCTCTCTGTAAAAAATCAATAAAATATATTTTAAAAATTAAAAAATAAATTGCATGTGTGGCTCGCATAGTAACTAGATGGAGGATCCAGGCACCTGTCACCCAGGGACCCCAGTGGGACATTGGACAGCACTGGCATAGGTGTGGCTGTTACGTTACAGGTCATCACCACCAGGGGGCAGCACCTCCCTCAAATAAGACTCCTAGGGCTGGAGCGAGGCCTCCGCTCCTCTGCTGCCTGGAACAAGGAGGAAGAGAAGGGAAAGGAAGGCAGGAGGCCCTCACCTGTTCTCCGTGGAACAGAAGAACTGCACCCACGGGTTGGTGCTGCCACTGTCTGGAGCTGGAGGCAGGTACATGGCCTCAGAGAAGCACGTCAGCAGCAGCTTCAGCAGCTCAGTCCTTGGGGAGGGGGTTCAGGTCCTGAGGATCCCGGTTCTCCTCCGGGAGGCCGTGCCCACCCTGCCCAGCCCAGCCCCAGCTCAAGTCCATGAAGAGAAATGGCCCATTTTCTCCCCGTGAGGCTGCAGCTGGGTCATGCGTGGGCAGCGTCCCTTTGCGAGGCCACGGCTGGTTCCCTCCCCGAGCCGTGCAGGGGCCAGGCCTGGGGTCCAGCACGCCACGTGCTCTGGGCCCAAGAAAGCTCACCGGTTCATGTCGTGGATGTAGTTGGGCTGGGGCGAGTGAGCGAAGCCCACGCCCGCCTCCCAGATGTATTCACAGCTGTCCAGGGAGTGCATGTCCTCCGCCAAGTCCTGGGGACAGGGTCGGGGAGCGATCGGGCTGGGGGTGGCCAACCTAAGCACCCCCGTCCCTCATGTCACCCCGAAGACAGATTCTCAAACGCCCCGGCGCTAACGCACAGGGAAGAAATCATGTTCTCGGCCTCCTGGAAGCTCACTCCCTCCAGTCTGGCTCTTTCACTTGCTCAGTCCAGTTTGAGACGCAGAGAGAGAGGGAGGGAGGGGAATGGAATTGGGTGTGTCTGGTGGTGGGTGGGGATGGGGGGCAGAAAGCACTCAAGGTCAAGTCCATGGGCCGACGGAAAGTGAAAAGGCCAGACCTCCTGTGCCCAAGCCCCACACCCCGCCCACCACCCAGGCAAAGACAATGGGAGCCTGTGCCCAGCTCCGGGATGCAAGGGGCATGGCCGGGCACCAGGTGGCTCCACTCCAGCTGTGCCAGCCACCACCCCCTCCCTGGGACCATGCAGCCCTGTCCCCGAAATGCCCTGCCCTAGAACTTCACTCAGCCCCAACCCAGAGGCCAGAGCCCTCCCAGCCCAGGGGGTCGGGGATTGGCTCTCACCACAGTGCTCCTCCGGTGGCTCTGGACGGTAAAATCTGGGCAGAAGAGCAAGTCAGCAATGGCCAGGAGCAGGGACTCGGCCAGGGGCCGGGCATTCTCGTCATCGTCTTCTCCCTGCTCAGGACACAGCGCCCAGGGCCACGTCAGTGGGAGCTGGCCAAGGAGAGGCGGCCCCAGGACTTGGGGGAAGGGAGGAGGACGGGGTCTGGGCCCAGGCGGTCACTGGGACAGAACCAGAGCGGAATGGGACAGTGAGGAACCCTCCCGCTGACAGGAGGGGCCAGGCCATGCATGTCCCCTAGACTCTGTGTCCCCTCAGCCCTGCAGGGAACCACTGGGCCGCCCCTCGGCCAGGTACCTGGAGATAAACCCAGGCAGAGGGAAGATGGAAGACAGAGGGAGAGGCCCAGCTGCCCTGCGCCCAGCTGTATGGGCAGAGACCCGTGGGAGAGGCACTGAGGGCTCAGGGAAAAGGAATGGAGCCCCACTCTCCCCGCCCCGCACTCCCTCAAGCCCAGGGAGGCCTGGAGGAGGGTGGGCGGCCCTGGTTCTTGCCCTGGACCAGGTTCCCGCCCTGTCACAGCTCCACTGCCCACCCAGCCCCGCCCGACCAGGCCCTGCCCGGCACAGACCTCTCCTCGCCCTGCCCCGGGCACCGTGGACCAGAAGAAGCCCCTCCAGTCCGGGTCCTCAAAGATGTAGGGCAGCACGCGCGTGAGAAGCCGGCTGCAGTTCAGGACAATCTGCTTCTCCTTCTCCGAATGGCAGCCGCTCTCGGCTCCCTGCACCAGCTTCTCCACAGCCTGTGGGGTGGCAGAGGGGCACGCTGGGGAGGGTGGGAGTGGGGCCCTGCACGTGGCTCAGATGGGCACCCCAGGCTCAGAGGGGGAGGCCCGACCCCACAGGGCCACCCTCCAGACAGGGTCGGCCAGCCCAGGCGGACGGGACGTGGGCCAGCCCACCACTCATCCGCTGAGATCTTGTTAAGCGACCCTCCACCTGAACCTCAGTTTCCTTATCTGTAAAATGGCGACACGAACAGTGGCAGCCGCACAGGGCGAGCTAACTGAGCTGACCCATGGGAAGTGCTCAGCACGTTCTGGCCCGGTCACCCCCCCATGGTCACTTCCCCAGCACCCAGAGCCCGCAGACCTCTCGGACCACAGGGCTGGGCCAGCGTAGTGTCCCCAAGGGGGTGGTGAATGGCCCAGCCAGGTGCCCTCACCTTGTAGCACAGAGTGGCCAGGTTGGAGGGCGACTCCTCCCGCACGGCCCGGATCTCCGCCGCCGGCACCAGCGCAAAGACATCCTGCACCGAGGTGGCCGTGTCCGCCCAGAACTGGTCCCAAAAGGCGTCATCGGTGGCTTCCACGGGCTGTGGGGGAACCCAGTGTCCAGAGTTGCACAATCCTTTGCCAAAGAGCCCATAGTTTGCCCAACATGTAGCCAAGGAAACCCCCAAAAGGTAAGGCATGGCCCCCCTACTCCAGCCCTGCTGGTGCCCAGGAGCCTCCCACGTGGCCACCATGAGTCCCAGTCCGCACAGGCAGGCTGGGGCACTTGGCACAGATGGTCAGGGGTCAGCTGGGCATTGAGTCCAGCAGCCAAAGCCTCACCCGCCTCTGAGGGACTGTGTGACCATCCACCTCTCTGCAGGACTGAGTCCAGACCTCAGCCAGCCAGTCAGCCCAGACCTTACCTAAACACACCTATATGCTGCACACCTGCGTACACACGTGTGCACACACACGCATATGCATGCACACACACCTGTATTTGCTGTCCCTACAACACAGCCATGCCATCTTTTCTCCTAGCCTTTGCTCAGACTGCCCCCTCTTCCCGGCATGCCCACCCCTCCCGACACATTCCAAAGTCCCACCAGCCCTATTGAGGCAATGTGCCTTAAACACACGTATGCCTTTTGAATTATACAGGCAATCCATGTGAATGGTAATATTCCGGAAACATTTCCCAAGGAAATAGTTATGCGTGTATGAGGATGCCAACTGAAGTGTTATTGTTGACAACAGTAAAAAGTTGGGCTCAATTTAAATAACCAGCAAGGGGGGAGTGCTTTCAAAAGTGAAGGCACATTCATACAAAGGGATATTATGCAGCCATCAGAATCACGTTTTCAACGAATATTAATGAATATTCATAGTGTCACAGTGTAGGTGAAGAAAGGATTAAAAAACTATCACAGTTTTGTGTTAAATTGTATAGTAACGAAAGCCTACACAAAAGTGACATGTTAACAGCAAGGATCTCTCTGGGTGGTCTTGTTTTTCGTTATGCTTTTCTGTAAGCGCAGGACTATTACCATTTTCCTCCTTTTGAATGTTCCTCTGCTGAGGGCCAGGCTACCAGGCTCTCTTACTTTCTGAAGAGCGCTTCCTGCAAGAGACCATCCCCCTCGCCCCGTCGCCCAAGGCTCTCCCTTCTCTGCAAGGGCTGGTCAAGGGCTCGGCTAGCACCCTGGATCCACACATAGTACTATGCATTACCCTTCTATTGAGAAAAAGAAATATCTTGTTTAAAAAAAATTCTAAAACTAAAAATGGAACTCCCATTTGACCCAGTGATCCCACTGCTAGGAATATATACCAAGAAACTAGAAACACCAATCAGAAAGGATATATGCACCCCTATGTTCACAGCAGCACAATTTACAATAGCTAAGATTTGGAAACAGCCAGTATAGAGTTATATCGTTTTCAGAAACTGCATACATAAAGTTAATAGTTAAAAAATAATAATATAGGTAACATTTTATAAAAGGAAGTTCTGTTTTCTAAATCTTCCAAATTATTCATTTTCAAAAGTATGCAAGGAAGAAAGAATATTGACAGAAAGGTGCGTGGAGATATTGGGATGCAACGGTGGATCATGAAAACACTCTAAAACATTGTGTTAGGAAATTGTCAAAATATATAAATCATTATAAAATCCTGCTAGTAATAACGTATAACTTTATTTTCAATGCAAGATCATTTTTAAGGCTACTCTGTGGGGTAGTACATGGAGAGCAGATAATTTCAGGACAGTATTTTAAGTGTTCCCATAATCTCAAATAAAAAGTTCTGGGACTATGGGCTCTTGAAAAAAGCATAGAGATTCATTAGTCCCCAACGACACATCAGATAAAGAATACATTGGTGGGGGATAAGGACACACATGTAATACTTTAATCAATAAAGAAAATAATAACAATTCTGGTCCTAGCTGGTTTGGCTCAGTGGATAGAGTGTCAGCCTGCAGGCTGAAGGGTCCTGGGTTCGATTCCGGTCAAGGGCATGTACCTAGGTTACAGGTGCCTCCCGGCCCGGGCCCTGGTTGGGGCACATGCAGGAGGCAACTGATTGGATGTTTTTCTCTCACCTCGATATTTCTCTGTCTTTCCCTCTCTCTTCCACTCTCTCTAAAAATCAATGGAAAAGTATCCTTGGGTGAGGATTAAAAAGAAAATAATAATAAAGAGCTCTGAAATTTGTTTAAATAACAACAACAACAACAACAACAACAATAATAATAGTGTTTTCTGAAGCCACTTCTTGCAAGAAGTCTCCCAGAGCTCTGAACAGATGGGCTTGCTCCCACCTTGGAACCCCACTCCCGACCCACTCACCATAGTCCTGGCTCCACCAGTCTGAGGCCCCTTTAGTCCACAGCCCCTCCTCCCTGACCTTGCAGCTGAGGCATATGGCAGATGCTTGGGCAATATTTGTTCAGCTAAAGGCTCTAATTACTCCTCGAGATCCCTTCAGCCCAGTCACTAGGCAGGGCCGAGGGCCAGGGGGGCTGTCCAAAGTTAGGGCTGGGGCCCCAAGCCTCACCGAGGCCCAGGTGTACCCAGGCCACTCCCCAAGCAACATCCCCCACTGAGCTACAGGGCAGCGTGTGGCCTTGGCCCTCTGGACAGGCCTGGCACCCAGGCCCGCTCAGTCCCAGAACTGGTAGAGCGAGTTAGTGGGGGAAGGAGGGTGGGGGAGTGGGAAACAGAGGCCAAAGGAGGGGCCCAGCTGGCACCTGGCACCCTCAGCCAGGACAGCCCTCGGACACTCACTGGGGTCCCCGGGGTACCACAGTGGCCAGGGTGGGGGTGGGAAAGGACATCCCGGAAATATGAAGAGCCCTCCCTCCCCAATCTGGGAGCACCTATGGGAAGCTCTCATCTCTACACCTTCCTCACCTCCCAGGTAACCACTACCCCCCTTAAAGGGGCAGAAACTCACCTCAACACCAAGTAGACTTGGCCTCTGACCTAGTTCATCAAGCAAGTGTCCCCAGGGTAGCCCAGCCCCGAAACAGAGGAGAGTCCCAGCTGGGAGCTGGCCTTGAACTTCAAAAATGGTGACTTTCACCCCCACCCCCCATCCCCAACTGATCCCACCGTGGCTTGGACATTTCAATTTGGCAACCATTGCCTGACCGTACCAGGCTAGCCTGGTGCTATAGGTATCGGCCAGGGTCACTGAGGCCCCTTTGGCTTCTGAGGGCAGGGACATGGCTTAGTTCCTGCCTCAGTTACCCCAGCTGGGCTCCACCCAACCCAAGAACGAATCTAAGCCAGTGTCTTTGGAAAAGAAGCAGCTGGGCAGGCGCCCGCCACCAGGGCACAGAGACGGCGCTACCTGGTGGGAAACCAGCTGTTCTCACCCCAGCTCTGCCAGGACCTGCTCAGACCAGAACTCCCCTCTTGAGGGCCCAGCTGCATCTTTGGAAACCTTTGGGGGGTGGGGGGAGAAGGACCAGCCTGCAAAGGGTGACCTGTGCTGGAGGACTGTGTCACCACGGCATGCACACGCAGTACATGTGCACACGTGTAAACATGGACCGACCAGATCCCATCTGCCCAACAGCAGAGAACTCAGAACATGTGGGATCGAGGAGAGGGTCCGGGTCCAGGGATGTCCCCCTCCGGGGCCCCACCCACCTGGGAAAGACGCAGGGAGCCCAGCCAAAGCTCCTGGCCTCAGAACCAGGGCCGGGCCCAGCCCAGGCAGGAAGGAAACAGGATGCAGCACAGGAAGGCTGAGCGGTGGGAAAGGCGCTGGGCCGGCGTGTCACTGCCCACAGCAAAGCTGTCCACAGCACAGCTTCTGAGGGCCCAGGACCGGACAGTACCCCGTGCACACCCGGCCTGAATCGCCATGGAGGGGCAGGGACTGGAATGACTGACTACCTGGGATCTGGTCCTCACTCCCCAGCTGCCCAAGCCAGGTCACTACACAGGACCTGAGGTGTCGGTCCCCGAGGGTCTCTCCCTCCAGGCGGCCCAGGCCCCTCCCACCTGCAGGGCCCCAGTGCTCCCCACGGGAGACCCAGGCTGGTCACGGGCTGCAGTCCTGTCCCAAGTCAACACACTCTCCTCAGCTGGGAAATGGGACAGCAATGCCTCAGTCAGCTCCATCGCTGTATTGGGGGGGGGGGGGGGGTTGGGGGCTGAGCAGGTAGGAATGTAGTCCACCCAGATCCCTTGGGACCTGGCTGAGCTATCCTGCTGGCCCAGCACTGGACCCCAGCAGCTGAGCCAACAGCCCATAGTTCACTTCTCCAACAAGGTGTTTCCCTCGGCAGGTAGGTAAACACTGGAGCCTCCCTTCCTCTTCTCTCTGTGGCCCCACCTTGAGGGGCTGCCCCCCCTGCCACCCGCAGCCCTAGGCGCCCCATCGCTAGAGACCAAGGGCCAGACGAGCCAGGAGCCTGGGGGAAGAGGCAAGGAGCAAGGTCTGGTTTCTATCACACCCCCCTCAGCCGGCTGGACTCTCCAGAGGCGCTGGGCAGTGGCCAGCACCTGGCCTTTCTCTCACAGGAGCAGGAGAGGGTGGGACCAGTGGTCTGGCCTCTGGAGCTGTGACCAGCTGGCTGTGGAAATGGCTCCCTCCATCCCACCCTAACTGCTAAGAGCAAGAGAGAGCAGAGCGCTGAGGAGCAGTGGGGTGGGTGGGGTGGGATTGGGGGTGAGAGGAAAGCCCCAGATAGCAGCAGGTCCTGACTCCCTTGCAAGTGGGGGATCTGGGGAGTTAGGGCCGGCATCTCTGTGGCCAAAAGGGCCTGGTTCAAGGGGTGAGGAGAGAAGGGGTGGGCAAGGAAGCCGCCTTGCTGGGCCAGGACCTGTTTGGGGGGGTAGGGTGCGCAGAGGGGGCGAGGAGGTGGCCTCTGTGCCACTTGCGGACTCAGGGGAGCATGGACTAGGCTGCAAGACACCCCCAGGCCCCACACCAGCAGGTCAAGGGCAATGTGCAGGTTTCTCAGCCCTGACCCAGGGAACAGAGGGTACCCCAAACACAGCCACCCCCACAGCTGGGCCTCAGAGGAGGCGCCCCCTTCGGGAGTGGTCCCGGCTGGGACACTGGATTCCAGGGGCCTGGGAACAGGTCCTCTTGCCAGGCTGCTGGGCCTCTCCTGCCGTGGGCATCGACCTGGGCCCAGCAAGGCTGCTGCCGCCGCGCACCAGCTGTTTCCCCGACCAGGGCGGACGCTGGCCCGGCTTTGTTTGCATTGAGTCAGCCGGCTCTGTGTGTCCGGGACCCGCGGGCACCGAGGGGCAGGGAGGGGAGCAGGGAGGTGGATGGGTGGGAGGAGGCGGGGAGAGGCTGAAGATGTAAGACTGGAGGGACGGAGTGGATGGGGGATGGGCAGGGGGTGGACAGCGGCGATGCCGGCTCGGGAAGTAGGCACACGTCAGCCTAAGGTGGCAGCAGCGGCTGCGGGGAGAGATGTTCCCCGGGAGAGAAGGCTGGGGGTGGGGGACTAGGGCGAGGGGATGGAGCATCGGGTACAGGCCAAGGGATTTGGCTCTGGCCTCAGTATCACCCGCCGGCCCAGCGGGGTCCCCCATCTCAGGACAAGCCAAGTTCGCGCAGCCCCCCGGCCCTGCCCAGCCCCCAG